GGGGGGGGGGTGGTCTTTAGTCGAAACATCTTGTCATTTTGGTGCCTGTGCACCTACTTTCTGAAACTCATAAATCCTGTTAGCGGGTTCGGCTTTGGTGATTCGCGTGACTGTGCTGGTCTGCTCCCGTGGCCGGAATCAGACTCCGCCTCATCTCAGTGACAACCTTTCGGTAACAGGCTGTTGGTTGAAACATGGCAACCAGGTAAACACATCCACATTACTCCAAGGCACACAGGCCTTGACATGGACTTAAAGAACAGCGCATCTGTGATGGCTGTTCTCCCCACCTGACCTGCCGTCCCCAGTCTCCCCTGAGGACACAAAGGCCGTCTCGCGCGCAGGCTTTGGGTTTACGGGCTTTCCTTTGACTCGCAATCTATGGATGCACGTTTTGGGGGTATAGGGCCTTATTTATTGGACTAGGGCCGAATAGGGTCTTGGGGCGCATTCTGCTACAATTCTATTAGATGAACCGAAAGGGGAGGTGTTGCTAGTTGTTCCGACCCCTATATTAGACCGGCTTGCGGGTTGAACCTCTGACAGAGCATAAAGTACAGGCCTTAATAATTAGAATCGGGTTCTGGAGTATGTTATACTCTGATTATAATAAGCCACCCCCAAAATATTGTAGGTAATTAGTAGGGCCCCTATATGCCTCGTGCTCCTGTCTGACGCCCACTCTATCTAATGATCTGACATCTGTAACTATCTGTCTCCTGTACGTATATGCATACACGCAACTGTTTCCATGAACACAGGTGTCGCAGCCCCCGTCCACGTTTTCACTTGCAGACGTATCTGTGTGCATGACTCCGTGCAAACACTGTCACGGAAACATCAACTCACCTAATTCCCTAACCCCCCAGATACCTACTATATAGGGTACTAGAGCCACTAGGGCCCTATATAGGTACCTGGGGGGGTAAGGGGGCAATAAGGGTAAAGCAGGCTTTGCAACCGCGAAAAGTCGCCATCCTGAAGCCAAGCTCCGAAGGTCGAAATTCACCTAAACCCTCCAGGTACCTACTATACAGGGCCCTAGGGGCTCGAGTACCCTATATAGCGTCGTACTGTTCCCTAACCCTCCAGGTACCTACTATACAGGGCCCTATAGAGGGGCTCGAGTATCGGGTAGGTACCTGGGGGGTTTGGGTCAATCCAAGGGTCGTAACTGACGCTGATGGACTGGATCTTGCCCCTCAGCAACAGTTTTGCAGCTGGTCTTCTACCCATAGGCCCCATAGTAGTTCCTTTTTGTGACTTATATTTAGGATCCTATTAAGCAATCCCAGAAAGGAACTACTATGGGGCCTATGGGTAGAGACCACGGTTGCCGGCTCCAGGCCGCATGGTTCTGACTGGTGGAAAAGCTGAGGCTTCGTTCTAAGTGCGCAAAAAGAGGACTCAGGATTACATAAGCCTGTTGGATTGGGATTTGGGGTAGAGGATTCTTCCAGGCTTCGCCGCACTGCCTGTATATATTATATATATGCATATATGTATATATATATATATATATGTATATATTTATATTATGTATATTGGAACCCTAAACGCGCTCATCCAATGCGCTTCAAAACATCACCGCCTGCGTTTGCGCGTAGTCTCGTAACACATGCCAAGCCACGACATCACAGCCTCCTGTAGCATCTCCGTTGCCTCTTCGTCATTGCGAGCCCCCTGGGGCGCAGTTGCTATCCGCACCAAGTAAACAAGCAGTGCCGATTCGGGGCTCCAAAGTCTACACTTAGAAGGCAATACCTGTTATTCTTTTGGGCTCATTGCAGCCCCCAGGGTTGTGAAGGTCCTCAGGAGCCGAAAAAAAACCAGCTGATCCCAGAAGAGCCCTTCATATAGCGGAGGCAAAGATCCCAGCAGAGCCCCAGATCAAAGAGGGAAACCCTCCAGCCCCATAGGTTCTCAAGCTGCGTCGACTGCCCTACCGGAGAGAGCACGAATCGCGATTCTTGCCCCCCCTAAACCCTAAACCCTAAACCTTAAACCCTAAACCCTAAACCCTAAACCCTCAAAGCCCACTTCAAGGCTTGAGTCGTTGTACTTAGAAAGAGGGCTACAACTTATGGATGCATAGAATTATGCACTGCTGAACCACAGCACATCTCTCCCAAGCTAACGGAGGGGCCTTTACAAATAGAATAGGGTTTTGGGGGTCCCTTATACGATAATCATAATAAGGGAACCCCCCCAAAATAATACAGGAAATTAGTTCGGCCCCTATATGCCCCTATATTAAGCCAGCGCGAGCACCCCCAAAAGTCAAGTAACCCTCAAGCTCTCCAGCTCGGGCAGAGCAGGGGCTGGCGGATAATGCAAGGGCCTTAATGATTAGAACAGGGCTTAGGGTTTGTAGGTTTGTCCCAACCGCCCAGCTGCGACTGGGGGTTTATAGGTTTAGGGTTTAGGGTTGAAGAGGTTTTTTTGGGGCTCCTTATTATAATTATAGTATAGTACAGCCCCAAACCCCATTCTAATTCCTAAGGCCCCTATACTATGATGCTCCCAAGTTTCTGGCAGCTACTGTAAACAGCCCACCTCGATGGCTTGCATGAGTCGACTCTTCAGATCACGAAGATTTCCGAAAAGCGCCTCGGTGCGGTGTTTGTTTTCTTTTTCTTTTTTTTTTGGGGGGGGCGGGGGGGAACGTTAAGCGTTTAGGGGTTTAGGCTCAAAAAAAATGCAGGGCGATGTAGGTTTTACCCTAAACCCTAAACCCTAAACCCTAAACCCTAAACCCGAAGGCTTGGGGCACAGGGCTGGGGATTCAAAGGCTCAGGGCTTCGGGTCACAAGGGCTATCGGACGAGGGTTCTGAGGATCTTGGGGGGCTCTAGGGTTTAGGGTTTAGGGTTGTTTTTTTTTTGAGCACCTTTTTCCACCTAGCAGTTAAGGTCGGCAGAATCCACGTTGTGGAAGGCTTTAGGGTTTAGGGTTTAGGGTTTAGGGTTTAGGGTTTAGGGTTTAGGGTTTAGGGTTTAGGGTTTAGGGATGTGATGTCCAACCTTACGATATGAGTAGTTTTCTAAATTAGGGTCCCTTTGGGGTTTAGGGTTTAGGCTTCCTTTTAAAGGTATCTATAAGGGTTTCTAAAGGGCTTCTATAAGGGTTCTAAATATGGGTAGTTTTCTAAATTAGGGTCCCTTTGGGGTCCTTTTTATAAGGGTGCCGTGCTATATTAGGGACCTAGAAGGCCCTTGGAGGAGCTTGGAGTGAAGTGTCGTCACGTGAAGCCCTTGCAGAGGACGTCACAACTAGGTCAGCTCTCTCCTGTTGGACGTCCAGGTCCCGCAGCTCGACCATATCGGTGGGGGAACGCACTTCCTGACAGCGCTCACATCAGAACCATAAAGCCAACCAACACGCCGCTACGTGCCCCCCTTGCAAGCCTCCCGCAGGCTTCGGCAAGCTCGCAGCGCGGCAAGGCTGTCGCCGCCGAGCCACAAAAAATTGGAGCCACGGCCTCGATTAACAACGAACCGTAAGGACGATTCAAAGGTTCCCCTCTACTTGCTTGAACCCTAAACCCCAAAGCCCTAACCCCCAAACCCCTAAACCCCAAACCCCAGGAGGACAAGCAAAACTCCGAAAAGCACACCCTAAACCCTAAACCCTAGACCCTAAACCCTAAACCGAGCACAGTTGCCAGACTCTCTGCCTTGCGAAAACAGGGCTGAAATGTGGATCACCGCGCCGACTCCTACTCGCCGCGCGACCCTTAAAACCGTGAACCAACATCCCGAAACCCTATACGCCCTGCACCCAAAATCCCAAAATCCTACACCCTGAATCCCGAAAATCCAAAACCCTGAACCCAAAATCCCAGAATCCTAAACTTCCTAAACCCTGAACCCAAAATCCCAAAAAAATCCCCAAAATCCTAAATCCAAAATCCTACGCCCTGAATCCAAAATCCAAAACCCAAAATCCCAAAATCCTACACCATGAACCCAACATCCCGAAACCCAAAATCCCCAAATCCTACACCCAAACTCCCAACATCCCAAAATCCCCAAATCCCGGAAGCGCCCCCGCCCGTAGCAGCCGAGGCGCCCAGCTGCTCCTCGGGCCTTCGCAAGGCAGCGGCCCAGGCCCTGGCAACCGCGGCCTCCGAAAGGCTCCGAGGGGTTTCAAATTTTGGGTTTAGGGTGTAGGGGTTTAAGGTTTTTGGTTTTAGGGTTTAGGAGTTTAGGGGTTAGGGTTTAAGCTTTAGGGCTCAAGGTTTAGAGTTTTAGGGTTTCAAGTTTCAAATTTTGGGTTTTAGGGTCCAAGGTTTAGAGTTTTAGGGTTTAAGGTTTAGGGGTGTCGGGTTTAGGGTTTAGGGGTGTAGGGTTTAGGGCTTAGGGGTTTAAGGTTTTGGGTTTAGGGGTTTACGGTTTTGGGTTTTGGGTTTAAGGCTTGGGGTCTTAGGGTTTAGGGTTTGGGGTTTAGGGTTTGGGGTTTAGGGGGGCTTAGGGTTTAAGGTTGAGGGCTTAGGGTTTAGAGTTTCAGGTTTACAGCATAGTATAATACAGCAGAGTCGACGACGATGATGCAGTGTAGCATCTTTGGGCCTTGAGGGTTTAGGGTTTCGGGCCATGAAGGGAAGCAGAGCCAAGGGCCCGTGGTCCCATGCCATGAGATCGCCAGAGCTTGGGAGTTTGTAGATGTACAAGGGCTCCACAAGGATTTAGGTTTTTGGGTTTTAGGTTGAGGGTTTGGGTTTAGGATGAGAGATTGAAAACAGATTGAGAATCAGCTCAACCCCGTTGTAGAAGTCGCACTAGGCCTTAAATCTGCAACCTAACCCTAAACCCTAAACCC